GGTGAAGTGCAAAATAAATGAAATAATATTACTGAACTAATTCACGAAAAGGGGAAGATGATCAATTTTACCTTGTATTAATAAATGCATTAAAGCATCTTAGACGCAGGGGTCCATAATAGTATCTTGTGCAAATGATTTTGCGAAGTGCATCGAGGACTTGCACACGGTGGGCAAGTACAAATCATCACGGACTATTGATTCCTTTTCATGAGAGCTTGTTATATTAGATGATCCAATACGTTTCTACATGGAAACGCTTCGCATCAGAGAAGAGGGTGTGATCGACTTTGTCAGGCGTGAACCTACGAAGGGCAGCACAAATTGAAAGGATACGTTACTTGTCTGATGTTAGCTTTAAAAAACAAGCTCTATTGCTTAATGTCCCCTAGGGGGCTCGGAACTCTTTTGGGAAGAATTTGCGTCGAAATTGTCATTTCAAAGTCTGTTTCAATATTCGGTCGCAGATATGAGCCCTTGAGGATCTGCATCGCAATTCGCATGCGCGTCTTTCACTATAAAAGGAGTACATGTATCCTCATTGCCAACTCGAAAAAAATATTCGACGATATGTACCAAGTCATTAATTTTTTAGTCGAACATTAAACGCTTTCGCACTTACTCAAGCTGAGAACTCTGAGAGTTGGGTGAGACCATCCAGCCTCGACGTGAGATATTTCATTGTCCCTGATGACGAAGTATTCGAGACTTGCACTTTGAAGTAGCGGCAAACTGGTCAATGCATTCATCCGCAGTTCGAGCTTTTTGAGGTTGATTTCAACGCCCTCATAGAGGGTTCCCTTAAGAAGGTCCCTCGAATTTAACTAGGAGCTGGAGGTTTCCGCTAGAAAGCACCCATTGTTCCGGCACTTTACCTCCGACCGGTGCCTCCAGTCCTGCTGCATGATTTCCTCGAAACTGACATCACCGAAAACTTATCCGGGTAACGCTTGGACTCTCCAATTCTCTGTCAGAATAAACCGTCTATAAACACATCGAGAATTTTATTAAATTGCAGCTGCATTGGGGTACCACCGTGATTTTAATTAATGAGCCCTACTAACCCAGAGGATTACATTGTGAGAGACATGTTTTAAATATTAGACTGTTTTCTTAAGAGTCCAAAACACAATCGCTCTTTGCTGGGAGCACCACTCCCTGATCAAGAAGTTGCGAGACCAGGGACAAGCGAATTCCTGTTTGGGGGGGGGCTCCCTGGGCCCCCCCCCCCCAATAGCCCCCCCCCTTTGGAAACTTTGGACTTTGGAAAGGTCAGGTAATGTCATTGAAGGCATAGTGGATGTCGTCACTCGAGGTCGCCTTCGAACAGTCCACGTTCACACTGCGATCGGATTCAGCATGGGAACAAGTGCAGGGGAGGATAGCAGTACGTCGTCCTGACCTCCGTGGCCAGCCTCCATTTCACGGCCTTGTTACCCACGAAAGATCGCCTTTGGAGGTCGAGGATCAATTTAAGCTCCCTGGAAGAATTCCCTTGGGAGATACTCCCGCAACTTTATAAAAATACTTAATGTTTTTAATTTCCCTCGGGGTCCCCCTGGAAGAATGAGGCCCACGGCCAACAGCCCCCTTCTCCCCGCCCCCCAAATCCTGCCCTGGAGAACACATCTAACGTGAGTTTGCTGCAAGCACCATCACGAAAGCGTTGAGATTTTAATTAGCCAATGAATCGATCATTTAAAAATCGAACGAAGGAGGGGCGGAAATGAAATTTTATGGAAAGAGGTATTTTTCCTTGTAAAACTTCTTCTGTAAAACCATCGAGTCACAGAATGACCGTGCGCGCTGACAGAAACGCTTGCAAGAAACTCTTTAGTATGTGTTTTCCACAGGCATCCTGGCAATTTTCATAGCGAAAAACGAACATCGAAAGCTGGGAGTCATCTGGTGTACACTAGGCGGCTGCACAATCCTTTATTCTTACTTGTCGACGACTGGAATGTGAATGAACGACCGCTTTCCTGAAACTTGGCATTACGTTAATTCTGCTTGGTGTGCATGGAGCTCTTTCATCGACCTTGCTCATAACATCAGGTTACGTGAGATTTTGGAAAGGTCAGGTAATGTCATTGAAGGCATAGTGGATGTCGTCACTCGAGGTCGCCTTCGAACAGTCCACGTTCACACTGCGATCGGATTCAGCATGGGAACAAGTGCAGGGGAGGATAGCAGTAGGATCGGGACAAAGATTTTTCCCGCTCGTCCCACGAACGGAATAGAGGAAGACGAAAAGGGAGAGGAAGGTCAGAGCCTCCACATCTTCAAGGAGAGCGAGAATGGGAAATGGTTATTAGAGAGAACCGGTGTGGATTGGATCACCTCGATGTTCCTTATGTTGTGGCCTGTCCTCGCGGATGCAAAAATCCGTACACCTAAATGAATAACATCTTGCGATGAGGCGTCAGAGAGACGTTTTCCTTGTGAAAAAGTAGGTGATATGGAGCCTATTACGGGTTTCAACCAAGAAAGTGCAAAGAATATACCACTCCATGGATACAGGGAAGAGCTCTCCGAATGTGCCACGAAGAAAACCAACTTGAGACGTTTGCACATTTTCATTTTAAAGTGATTGGTGTTGGCCAAATAACCATTTTACAACCCCCCCCCAAGAAAATTCAGTTGGCACCTACGGCATTACAGCAGTATAGACTAACACATGAAGAGAACAAAAAAGCTTAAGGAATATGTTCCAATCACCCAGAGTTGGAAATTAGGAACGGTCAAGAGTATCGGTTGATGAGAACCTCGCTCTCACCTCCTGTTGCTCGGCTTGTGTTGGACATTACCATTATCAATGGTCATGGTACCCTGAAAACTGTCGCATCGTCGTATTCGGTAAAGTTGATTGCCGTATATTCGTGTTATTCCAGGTCCATCAGTTCAGATAGTTAGGAAGGAGAAAAATGCTGGTACAGGAATGGAGCAGCAGACGATAATGGATGTGGGTAGACAATGATAGTCACAAACGTCACGGTAAGGGTGAAATACGTCCATCGGAGTCAGGATAATTTTATACATGACGAACACGATAGCCACGTCACTGTTTTTTGCAGAGCAAAAAGGACAAGGTTAGATGGTTCCCTCAGATGGTTAATTTCTCACAAGTCAATGGGTTTTGCAAAAATGAACAGTTGGGGCATGTTAGCCCAGAAATGTACTGTATGATAGAAAATTCGTAAAAGAATTTGAGTTAAATTAGAAATTCATCAAGTGGGTTGCCTTTGGCTTTTTTTATCATTTGCATTTTCGAATATTTCGTGGCAATGTCATATACTGAATATCACTCTGTTGATAGCCAGTCTTCGAGTTCGATTGGGATTGGCCGGTCTTGCAGCTTTACTGGCAGGGTCTTCACACAAAGGAGACTTCGAATTTTCTGCTCAACGGGTATGATGATTAGGTAAAATAAACTGCAAGACATCTTATATATCGTCACGGTAAAAGCCTACTACCCCTCTGAAAGGGGAGTGATTGATTGTAGACCAATACTTTAATCCGCCGCCGCTAGATGCCGCTAGCGAACCCCCATCGATCATGAATAGCAGGCGTACATGAAACAAATGTTAAATTTCCATTTCGGAATGAAATAGCCAAGGAAGCCCCTAATGACCCTAGGCAGGTAGTTGGAACGCGAAGTTGACGTGTCCTAGCTCGGTACCATAAAGGACATCCGACCCCGTCAATGATGGCCTCACGGTCACTAGGGCACTTGCCCTCTTGAGAACACCCAGAGAGTGCGTCTTATTCCAGGTGGGGGGTGGTGATGAAACTCAGTTCACATCTTCTTGCTGAACCTAAGGCATTACGTCTGGGACTATCTCCTCGGTTTTCATATTGGTCTACGCCCTCAATAGAATGGGTAGTCACTATCGCGATTCCCAGACTTGGAGTTATCAGATCGTTGCCCACGACCTTCTAGGAAAGCTTTACGACCACAAATTAAAAAATGAATCCAGGCACGACTCAACCTCTGAATTAGCAGGTGCGAATTGTATAATCTCCACGAGCAGGAGAATTGCTGGTTGCCGAGCACAAGCGCGTGCCGCCTTGAGCTGACCGACGCGTTCTTTCCTTCGCGTGTGCGTGCTTTCAATTATGTATTTGTATGTGCCGTTTCGACCTCTTTGCACGGCGTTTCGAAGTGAAACAAAGATATAGAATAACATTTATTGCACTTACCCGTTTCATGTCGTGCATTGCAGGCTCTCCCGCCTACATATACCTAGGTCATTCTTTCGACCAATTGAGAAAGCAGAGGGGAGAGTCCTCCGACCCCATGGCCGGAGGTCGAGTCGCTCTGGGACCGCAGCCGTTCTCTCTGCATTGTGATGCCTCTCGGGAGGCGGATGACAATGGACGGCGCTCGTTCTCGGGCTGCCTTTGAGGATGCGTAGGGATAGGGTACGATCGGGATGCTTCGATGTGATTGGGGGAGGAATGACGTTTTTCCTGGTGGAGTTTGGGGCAGATGGGCGTACTCTCAATTCTGCATTAGATTCAAAGAAATTCAAAAGCCTTTTCTACCTCTTGCATTGCAATTCGAAAAAAAAGAGAGAAGGAATATGAAGTGCCCGATCCATTTTATTGTAACGAAATACGTTTGCATTCTATTGCGAATCCAGTATGACGTACCGGAAAGGTAAATGTTTTGACAAGCGTAGGAAGTATTATGATGCAATCGGTCCAAAAGAAAATTTTTATCCAGCTGGTTTTTGGAAGCAGCAGACTTCAAGTAATAGATTAAGAAAGTACGTTCGCCAGTTCTAGAATCACGCCCGATAGCAGTTACGACTTCTTATTGCATCTCCGACGTTACTCGTTCTTCCTCATTCCAGAGAACCCGATCGCGTGCGACTGCAGCATGGCCTTGATCGTCCTCCGACTTCCTGGGAAGCGCGGGGCTCCGACGCGGCGGAGTTCCAACATCTCCCCGAGTATGACACCGAGATACGGCTTTTTCATGTTATTATTAGTCACCTTACTAATCTCATTTGTGTGCGTCGAGAAGCACAAATGAAAAAGAAGAAAGGCGCAAGAGAATCATAGTGAAATGCGCCAAATTACCTTTGAAAATTTTTTTTTATTCGCACGATGGCAATTTTTGGAAACGGCATGACCACACCGATGTCTCGAGGAGATGGATGCAGAACACAGAGAGTGAAGGGAGGTGTAGAAAAAAAAAACTAGTTGAAGTTCGTTCCCCTCGATACGATAAGAGACCCTATGTAAGTAGATGCATTTCAAAGATATTCGTTCAGTCAGAGTACGGTGAAAGAAGGGCGGGAAGGAGCAATGCGATATCTATGCAGCACCTTCGCCATAGAGCAATATTCAGGAAAGGTGACCCACCCCCACCCTTTAAATTGGTGGCTCGCGGAATCTAGGGTGGGACTAGTAGCAGGACTGCATTTGCTTCGTGCTGATTTGTATTCCTGACTGTGACATTTCAAATATATTTACCGTTGCAATATGTGTGACTCCGAGAAGAGTAAAGTCGACAGTGGATGTTGAATATTCAATAAGAAGTGGACGACGACGTATTTCTTCACGGACGTGGATACGAATGCAGTCTGCATGATTTGCCACCATTGCGTCGCAGTTTTCAAGTAGTACGACGATGTGTCGAAGAGGTTGACGCTACATATTTTTGTAAGGGGCATCAACAACACGTTTGAAATCACTGATGAATTGCTGATTATGAAATCTCAACGACAGGATCTGCTGATGGACTGGAGAATCTGCATCGAAAGATTAAAGTTGCCTCAGGAAAATTCGACTAGTGTCACAACAGACGGGACTCCCAAATTAACTGGTTAAAACGTTGAAATTTTGAAAAGAATTGAAGAGAAAGTCAAAGAGACGAATCAAGATCGTCGTTCGCAGGAGTGTTAAGTACTTTGCCACGTGTCGCGGCAAGCATCATTTACAAGGAACCAAAGAACACGGACATTTGTTATCCCTATATTTCGAGACAGATTCATGGAGCCAAGGACAAAAACAATTTATTCCACCATGTTTCCACATTTACTTCATTCTGGACTCTATCGAAGGGGAATAGTCACCTACTGAAGTAGGCTTGCTCCTAGCGCAGTCTTCAAAAATGATCGGATCCAAGTCTTCAAAATACGTTCCATCTGTGCATCTACCCCACACGCTTCCCAAAAAGGAAGGATTGAGCACTACCCATGCTGTACTGCAGTCACACTTCACGGGGTTAGCTGCAATACAGACAAACAGAAGGGTTGGGCTGAAAGACTACGTCATTGAGCATTGTGGTCAAGCAGGATCTCCCAACGTATATCGATGTACCCAGTGCCCAGTGAGAGCACCTCCAGCAAGGGGCGGAAGGATACCTCCGTCAATTCCCGAATTTCGTTACTCCAAATAAGTACAAGCGTGTTGGGCTGCAAACCTGGAATGGAGACAAGACACGATCTTGAACAAGAAAGAACGTGACGTGGCACTTGCGCTGCACCCAATGACATGCTGGCAATGGGAATGAAGATCACCAAGAGCACTCGATGCGAATGCAAACAATCGATAATACCTGTGATCGCATCCATATCCAGGGTTGAGATTGAGTTGCGGTTTATGTCAATCTCTTTCATATTTGTGCTGCTGAATGCCAAAAGACTTGGTCGACAGTGTTGGTCCTAGGGCACAGTAGTCACAATAAAATTCCTCTAATTTTCCCATATCGCTGAAGAATCCAACTGGGACATCTGGGATAGGATTACAACCTGGAGAAGTAGCAATGAATCCAATTTTTTTTTCTAGAAATGCTGGTGAAGTGCAAAATAAATGAAATAATATTACTGAACTAATTCACTAAAAGGGAAAGATGATCAATTTCACCTTGTAAATACATTAAAGCATCTTAGATGCAGGGGTCCATAATAGTATCTTTTGAAAATGATTTTGCGAAGTGCATCGAGGACTTGCACATGGTGGGCAAGTACAAATCATCACGGACTATTGATTCCTTTTCATGAGAGCTTGTTATATTAGATGATCCAATTCGTTTCCACATGGAAACGCTTCGCATCAGAGAACAGGGTGTGATCGACTTTGTCAGGCGTGAACCTTCGAAGGGCAGTTCAAATTGAAAGGATACTTTACTTGTCTGATGTTAGCTTTAAAAAAAAGAAGCTCCATTGCTTACAATCCCCTAGGGGGCTTTCTTTATGTTTTGACAGCTTCTTGGGAGAATCATTAGTGGGGACGATAAGAGAGAGTGATTAGTGGCAATGGGTAACGCTGAAAATTTTCGAACAAGGAAAAATGATCCGTCAGTGGTGATATAAAAGGCGCTGGACATTGGAATAATTTCAATGAGATGATTCGGGCGAAAATTCACCGCTTTTTCGAGATTCAAGATTTCCTTGACACTTTACACAACCAACCACAATGTCTAAAACAAAAATCCAAAGGGAAAAATACCCATGGTCTCAAAAGGAGCTTCGCCGAATTGGTACGTGTGCCCATGGAACCCAGATACTGGAAATGTATTGGATTTACTCGGATTGTAAAGCCACGAAGGCGCGTCCACAGCGAATTTATTTTTCCCAATGTCAACTAACTCATTAGCAGTTATGTATGCTGTCCCCAAGAAACTTAACTTTTTAGGCAAGAAAAGGAAACGTTCCCTCGAGCAGATCTCGAGGCCTAAGGCGTTGAAGCACATATTGGCTCCAGTCTCACATTCACTGCAACCCTATATCACCAGTCTTCTGGCTAACACACGAATTCAATGAGAATGGGAGACCTGCGCGCCTCCGTCTCGAAGGTGCTTCCAATGAGGACCATAGGTAACGCATGGGTAGCGGAGAGAGACCACTGACGATCCCGTTCTGTTCGTCTGTGTGTCCATGCGTCCGCGTGATCCTGTTTCCGTCTGTTACGTTTTCGTCGTACGTCGATGACTAAGATGAATGTGAACCTGACGAAAGCGAAAATTGTCAAGCAGGCAGATATGAACAAGATTCATGCGGAGCTCTTTTGGGTCGAATTCGCGTCGAAATTGTCATTTCAAAGTCTGTTTCAAAATTCGGTCGCAGATATGAGCCCTTGAGGATCTGCATCGCAATTCGCATGCGCGTCTTCCACTATAATAGGAGTACATCTATCCTTATTGCCAACTCGAAAAAAATATTCGACGATATGTACCAAGTCATTAATTTTTTAGTCGAACATTCAACGCTTTCGCACTTACTCAAGCTGAGAACTCTGAGGTTTGGGAGAGACCATCCAGCCTCGACGTGAGATATTTCATTGTCACTGATGGTGAAGTATTCGAGACTTGCACTTTGAAGTAGCGGCAAACTGGTCAATGCATTCAACCGCAGTTGGAGATTTTTGAGGTTGACAAGTTGCGGGAGGATCTCCCAAGGGAATTCTTCCAGGGTGCCTAAATTGATATTCAACCCCCTAAGGCGATCTTTCGAGGGTAACAAGGCCATGGGGTGGATGGTGGCCACGGAGGTCACGACGACGAAGATTTCCTCGAAACTGACATCACCGAAAACTCCTCCGGGTAACGCTTGGATTCTCCAATTCTCTGCCAGAGTAAACTGTCTACAAACACATTGAGAATTTTATTAAATTGCAGCTGCATTGGGGTACCACAGTGATTTTAATTAATGAACCATCTGACCCAGAGGATTACATTGTGAGAGACATGTTTTAAATATTAGACTGTTTTCTTTAGAGTCCAAAACACAATCGCTCTTTGCTGGGAGCACCACTCCCTGATCAAGAAGTTGTGAGACCAGGGACAAGCGAATTCTTGTTGTGGGGGGGCGGAGGGGCTCCCTGGGCACCATTTCCCCCTCCCGCTGCTTTACAAAAATAATTAATGTTTTTAATTTCCCTCGGGGTCCCCCTGGAAGAATGAGGCCCACGGCAACAGCCCCCTATTCCTCGCCCGCCTAATCTTGCCCTGGAGGGCACACCTAAATATCTAACGTGAGTTTGCTGCAAGAACCATCACGAAAGCGTTGAGATATTAATTAGCCAAGGAATCTATTATCCAAAAATCGAACGAAGGGACGGAAATGAAATTTCATGGAAAGAGGTATTTTCCTGTGTAAAACTTATTCCGTGGAAACTCTTTATCTATAGTATGTGTATTCCACAGGCATCCTGACATTTTTCGTTGCGAAAAACGAACGTCGAAAGCTGGGAATCATCTTGTATTCACTTGGCGGCTGTACTTTCCGTTATTGTTACCCAACGACGACTGGGATGTGAAAGAATGAATGCTTTCCTGAAACTTGGCATTACGTTAATTCTGCTTCGTGTGCATGGAGCTCTTTCCTTGCTCATAGCATCGGCTTACGTGAGGTTTTGGAAGGGCCAGGCAACGTCATTGAAGGCAGAGTGGATGCTTTCACTCGAGTTCGCCTCCGAACAGTCCACATTCACACTGGGATCGGTTCCAGCATGGGAACAAGTGCAGGGGAAGATATCAATAGTATCGGGACAAAGATTTTGCCCGCTCGTCCCTGGAACGGAATAGAGGAGGACGAAAAGGGAGAGGATGGTTAGAGTCTCCAGCATCTTCAAGGAGAGCGAGACTGGGAAATGGTTATTAGAGAGAACCGGTGTGGATTGGATCACCTCGATGTTCCTTATGTTGTGGCCTGTCCTCGCGGATGCAAAAATCCGCACATGTAAATGGATAACATCTTGTGATAAGGCGTTGCAGAGACGTTTTCCTTGTGAAAAGCAGGTGATATGGAGGCTATTACAGGTCTCACCAAAGAAAGTGCCATGAATATACCACAGCATGGATACAGGGAAGCGTAGACAGCTCTTCGAATTTCCCATGAAGAAAACCATCTTGAGACGTTTAGACATTTTCATTTTAAAGAGATAGGTGTTGGCCAAATAACCATTTTACAATCGCCCCTCCCCCTCCCCCATAAAATTCGGTTGGCGACTACGGCATTACAACGGTATGGACTAGCACAAGAAGAGAACAAAGAAGCTAAAGGAACACGTTCCAATCATCCAGAGTTGGAGATTAATACAGGCCGAGGGTGTTGGTGTAGGAGAAATTCGCTCTCGACTCCTGTTTCCTTGCTTGGTTGGACATTAACATGAGGTTGATTCCCCCATACTGACGACCGCGGATACATTTTTGATACGTGGCATCCCAAGTCCTTAATGGTGAATAAGATTCCGTGGTCGACCATGGCTGCCAGGAAACGTTGGCCGTTAATTTTTTTGAGACATGATTTTTTTCTAAAAAAAACTTTGTCATCTTTTTGAGATATGATTTTATAATTTTAAAAATAATGTATTTTATGTTGTTAATCAAGTCTCCTCGCTGCAGGTTGGGCTGTTGCGCTTAACTTCAAGCAACCAGCATCACAGCTAAAGTAATTTGGAATCAGTCGGAAGCCCGACATATTGTGACATTTTAACGGCTGCGAAATTGAGGCTTTTTTCATCTTCCAAAAGCGCAGATGGACTAGAACGGAATCCAATCCGATATCGGAGATCCAACGCGGATTCTTCGAGGACGTGGGGACCATGCAAGCATTCGAGATGCGGCTTGGGACCGACTCAGTCCAACTCATTCGAGCACCGCGGTGAGATTTTCCAGAATCAGTATTAAGATCATCGCATTGCATCATCGCAACCCCTGGAACCGCATGCAATCCCAAACTGTTTTTTGGAAGCAGCAGACTTTAAGTAATAGATGAATAAAGTACGTTCGCCAGTTCCGTAATCCTGCCCGTAAGCAGTTACATCTCCATATTGCATCTCCCACGTTCTTCATTCTTCCTCATTCCAGAGAACCCGATCGCGTGCGATTGCAGCATGGCCTGGATCGTTCCCCTACTTCGCGGATGTCTCTCTGTCCGCAGCTCTTCCTCCCATCGCAGTCGTGAAAGACAGCGGCGATGCCCTTTAACGGGTTATCGACTCTTTCCGACTTCATTCCCACGGAACATTCATAGCCAGGCTTCGAGTTCGATTGGGATTGGCCGGTCTTGCAGCTTTACCGGAAGGGCCTTCACACAAAGGAGACCTCAAATTTTCTGCTCAACGGGTATGATGATTACGTAAAATAAACAGCAGGACATCTTATATATCGTGAAGGTATGAGATTAAAAGCCTACTACCCCTCTGAAAGGGGGAGTGATTGACCCAAGACCTACACTTTAATCCACCGCCGCTAGATGCCGCTAGCGAGCCCCTTCGATCGTGAATAGAAGGCGTACATGAAACAAAAAGTTACATTTCCATCTCGGAACGAAATAGCCAAGGAAGCCTCTAGTGACACTTGGCAGGTAGTTGGAACGAGGAGTTGACGTGTCCTAGCTCGGAACCTTAAAGGATATCCGGCCCCGTCAATGATGGCCTCACGGTCACTAGGGTACTTGCACACTCGCGAAAAGACCTAGGGAGTGCGTCTTATTCCCGGTGGGGGGGGGTAGGAGAAGTTCATCTCCCACGGACCATACGTCCGTGTGGTATATATGTCCCACCCGGACATAAGCCATTACGGCCGGGACCGTCTCCTCGGATTTCAGGCCGGTTTACGCCCTCGATAGAACGGGCAGTGAGTATGAGAATTCTCGTTGCCCTTTTACATCTTGCGTGCACTTGTAAGGAGGCTTCACCAAAACACCTCTCGTTATGCTTCTAGCGTTTCCGAAGAAGTAAGAGGGAGAAAGGCGACGACCGAACATCCCTGTGTGATGGTACATTCCCTTTGTCATAAAGTCGTCATTCCCCTTTTTCCTGTCTAAACGAATTGGTCATCCCGTCCACCCTCGCTGGCGTCCAAGGTCTTCCTTTCTCCTTCGCTGCTCCGTCGTAATTACTTCATGCCATCATCTCCGTGAATCCGATTTGATCATCCTATTTCATAAAGTTGATTTGACTTCGGTATCTGGTCCGCCACGATGCACAAATGCATTGGCACGTAAAAACATGCGCCAGGAGTTCCTTACCCGATCTTGCTTACAATATCAGATTACGTGAGATTTTGGAAAGGCCAGATAGCGTTGTTGAAGGCGGTGTGGATGTCGTCATTCGAGGTCGCCTCCGAACAGTCCACATTCACAGTGCGGTCGGTTGCGTCATAGGAGCAAGTGCAAGGGAGGATTTCAGTAGGATCGGGACACAGTTTTTGCCCGCTTGTCCCAGGAACAAAGGAGAGTATGAAAGGAGAGAGGATGGTGAGAGCCTTCTGCATCTTCAAGGTGAGCGAGACTGGGAAATGGGTTTTAAGGAAGACCGGTGTGGATTGGATCACTTCGATGTTTCTTTTGCAGTGAACTGGACCTGTCCTCGCAGATGTGAATATCTGCACATTTTGGAAATGGATAACATCGTGTGCTAATGCGTTGGGGAGACGTTTTCCTTGTGAAAAAGCAGGTGACATGGAGCCTATTACGGGTTTCTTCCAAGAGAGGGGCATGAATATATCACAGCATGGATAAAGGGATGAGAGGACAGCTCTCTGGATTTGCCAAGAAGGAAACCAGTACCAATTCTGGTGTCATTCGCGTTTGCTAGATATCGAATTTTCCAGACTCAAATGGATACTTCAAAACTTCACTTGGCCTGGACCTAAGTTCCCACAATCGATTTCGCAAAAAAAAAAATTTTACGACCTAATTTGATACGATCTCCTTCATGTACATTGCAAATTTCATTCTGGCTTTTTGACGATGAACAGAGATATGACCATTTTAGTGCATGACCTTCACAACATGAACCGGTATAACTCAACATCAGAGCCATGAACTGGAGCCTGCGTATCACTTATCACCAGTAATCGGTCGGAATCCTTTCCATTTAGCAGTGCATCAGTTCACAGAGCATGTACCACGTCTTATACACTCAGAACGTTAACTCCCTTCCCATTTTCTACACAAGAATATAATTTCACGAGTAGGTACTTGGTCGGTCGGAGGCTAGAAAGCCATGTAATGTTTGAGCACCTGCTTCTAGTACTGACGCGTTAAAACACTTTCGAAGCATATGAGCGTGTGTGGGCAATTCTTCCTTCTGGCGAAGACGAAATTAATTGCTTCAATATTGTCCGTTGCCCAAGTGTGCAGGCGAATAGGGGAACGTTATGTGATCACTCCACTGTCTCTGCAGAATTACCATTGTTCCAAGTCGCTTCGATGTTCCTCCTTATCCGTTACACTGCTGTTACCGTTTGAAAATGAGAAAACAATCCCGACGGGGGCGTTTGTGAAATTCTTCCGGTTTTCATTATTTTCGGTTCTCAAGGAGAGACTATGGAATGCCTGTGGGATGGCTTTGCAAAGATGAACTGTTATGTCATGTTACTCAGATATTTATGAGGGAAGATCTGTGAAAGAAATTGATTTAAATTAGAAATGGATCCAGTGGGTTGCCTTTGGCTATTATTTTATTAGCAAATTTGAATCTTTCATGGGCATGGGCAAGTCACGTACTGAATATGACTCTGACGAAATAATAGAGCTTTCTGTCACTGACAATACGGTCTTTAAATCTACTTCATGAACATAAACTGCTCGGTAACAAATTTTTTTAAGGTCAAGAAATTTGTTTTGAAGTTTTTCTTGTTTAATGCAGTGGTCGGCAGCCTACGGCCAGCAAAAAGATTCCACCAGGCCCCGAAATCCTCTCAAATAAATCCATGAAACCTCTTCCTCACAGCAGCCCATTTATCGTTGGAAAGGAGAGAAATTAGTTTCACCGTTCTGTGCTCTTATTGTTTGCTGGTGACCTGCGATAACGGATGATCGAACCAGTACGAACCGTCGCCAGCGCGTGAGGTGGCGATTTTGCAGACGCAGAGGACTTGGTTTGCTAAACGTCGCTAAAATTCGTCATATTGCGCCCTTGTTGCGCCTGTCCTTTGTTTCATCTTGATGTGATGAGAGGGCGGGAAGTGTAAGTCGCGCTGCACTTTTCTTGGCTTTCAGAAGCGGGTGTGTCAGTGGACGTTTTCAAATTCTGTTTTTTATCGTGAACCTGCCCTTCCATACAACGATGCGGTCAAAATCAGCAAAGAAGAGAAAAGTTGCAGCGTGCAGATTTCATTAACGACAATCGAAAGATACAGAAGACTGGAGCTCCTGAAAGCAGTCCAGTAGTCCAAATAGTTATGAAGGTGAAAAATGTTGTTACATTAAGGAAGCAGTAGACGAGAATGGACAGGGGTAGACAATAATGATCACCATGGTCACGGTAAGGGTGAAATACGTCCATCGGAAGGAGGATAATTTAATACATGGCAAACACTATAGCCGCCTCACTGTTTTTTTGCAGAGCGAATAGGACAAAGTTAGATAGATCCCTCAGATGATTAATTCCTCTCCAACCAATGGGTTTTGCAAAGATGAACAGTTAGGACATGTTAGCCCAGAAATTTATTATGGAAAATACGTAAAACAAATTTATTTAAATTAGAAATTGATCAAGTGGGTTGCCTTTGGCTTTTCCTTTGGCTTCCTTTGGTTGTGATGATGCATTAATTGAAATGCAGATTCTGGAAACACTCACCGTTAAGCTCGAATGGACCGTTGAATTGAGTCGGTCCTGGGTTGTATTTCGAAGAGGATATTACTTTCAGGGTCTCCACGTCCTCGAAGAATCCTACCTGAATCTCCGATATCGGATTGGAATCTGTAGGTGAATCCGTTCAAGTCCATCTGCGTTATTGGAGCATGAAAAAAAGCTTCCACTGGCCGGCCGTTGAAAAGTCACAATATGTCGGGCATCCCCTTATTCCAAGTTACTTCAGCAGGAGATTTGCTTAACGACAATCATAAGATACGGAAATCTGGATCTTTTGAAAGGTCCCAACGTGGTCACCAAAGCCACTTCACTGTCTTTTTGCCGAGCGAAGAGGACAAGGGGTGATTCCATGTGAATCCGCACAATTTTTTTTTTACCGACTGCCTCCTGTTTCTAAGAAATTCCGCATAATGATAGTACATATTGAGACAACAAACTGGAGCAAATTTCAGTTCCATGCAATATGTATTCTGAGAATGACACTCACAAAGACGACAGTTTTTGGGCACTTTGGGCCCAGGGATCAGAATTATTGTAATAAATGCCTTAATTATGAAGATGAATGGGATGAATGAGGCATCGTAAGATAGGTGATAAAATTCCCTATGAGATGATATGTATCACACGATGATGAAAGCAGTGACCTCGGCATACATTTTTTGTACTTATCTTGAAACTTGACTTGGCCTGGACCTAAGTTCCCACATTCGATTTCGCTAAAAAAAAAATTGTACGACCTCATTTGATACGATCTCCATGAACACTGCAAATTTCATTTAGGGTTTTTGACTATGAAGAGAGATATGACCATTATAGTGTATGACCTTCTCAACATGCACCGGTATAACGCAACATCAGAGCCATGAACTCGAGCCTGCACTTCACTTATCACCGAAATCTGTTTTTTTTTTAAATCGAAATTCCTGTTTTTTATCGTGAACATGCCCTTCCATACAACGATGCGGTCAAAATCAGCAAAGAAGAGAAAAGTTGCAGCGTGCAGATTTCATTAACGACAATCGAAAGATACAAAAGACTGGAGCTCCTGAAAGGTCCCAACGTGGTCGATTCTCTTCCAGCCCGAGGACCTCCAACTTCGCGAATGCCTTAGGGCGTTCCACAAGAACTCCCAGAAGGCGCTGGAACAGACGAAAATCTGATCGCTCGGCGTCGCATCGGAGCAGTCCACCCTCCCACTGCCCACATATGCTCCTGCGCAAGTGCAAGGAAGGATATCACCGGCATCGGGCATAGGTTCTGCCCAGGAATGGAAGCAAGGAGGATGAAGAAAGAGAAATGTGAAGGATTCATTCATACCGAAGGAGAGTGCCCCGGGACAGGCGCGAAGAGAATACTGGAGGGAATATTAATACCCAGACTGCCCCTTCTATCTCTCCATATCGGACGTGAATAGTCGCACCTGATAGTTCAGGAGTTGAGAAATAGTCACATGAATCTACAAGACAGAGATATAGAATGATAGCTAGTTTCTCAGGTGAAAAAATCCCCTTCGAGGTTGATTCCCCCATACTGACGACCGCGGATACATTTTTGATACGTGGCATACCATGTCCCGTATGGTCCGTGGGAGATGAGTTTCTCATTCCAACCCCGCCCCCCGGGAATGAGACGCACTCCCTAGGTGTTCTCCCGAGTGTGCAAGTGCCCTAGTGACCGTGAGGCCATCATTGACGGGGCCGGATGTCCTTTAAGTTTCCGAGCTAGGACACGTCAACTCCTCGTTCCAACTACCTGCCTAGGGTCACTAGAGGCTTCCTTGGCTATATCATCCCGAGATGGAAATTTAACTTTTTGTTTCATGTACGCCTTCTATTCACGATCGAAGGGGCTCGCTAGCGGCATCTAGCGGCGGTGCATTAAAGTGTAGGTCTTGGGTCAATCACTCCCCCTTTCAGAGGGGTAGTAGGCTTTTACTCTCTTACCGTAATGACGACCGCGGATACATTTTTGATATGTGGTATCCCATGTCCTCCATGGAGAAGGATTCCGTGGTCGACCATGGCGCCCAGGAAACGTTGGCCGTAATTTTTTTTGAGACATGATATTTACAAAAAAAACCTTGTCAACTTTTTGAATTATGATTTCATGATTTTAAAAATCATGTCTTTTATGCCGTTAATCACGTCTCCTCGCTGCAGGTTGGGCTGTTGCGCTTAACTTGAAGCAACCGGCATCACAGCTAAAGTAATTTGGAATCAGGGGGAAGCCCGACATATTGTGACATTGAGTCTGCGAAATTGAGTCTTTTTTCATCATCCAAAAGAGCAAATGGACTTGAACGGATTCCAATCCGATATCGGAGATCCAACGCGGATTCTTCGAGGACGTGGGGACCCTGCAAGCATTCGAGATGCGGCCTGGGACCGACTCAGTCCAACTCATTCGAGCTCCGCGGTGAGATTTTCCAGAATCAGTATTAAGATTACAGCATCATCGCAACCCCGGAATCGCATGCAATCCCAAACTGTTTTTTGGAAGCAGCAGACTTTAAGTAATAGATGAAGAAAGTACGTTCGCCAGTTCCGCAATCATGCCCGTAAGCAGTTACATCTCCATATTGCATCTCCCACGTTCTGCATTCTTCCTCATTCCAGAGAACCCGATCGCGTGCGACTGCAGCATGGCCTGGATCGTTCCCCCACTTGGCGGATGTCTCTCTGTCCGCAGCTCTTCCTCCCATCGCAGTCGTGAAAGACAGCGGCGATGCCCTTTAACGGGTTATCGACTCTTTCCGACTTCATTCCCACGGAACATTCACAGCCAGGCTTCGAGTTCGATTGGGATTGGCCGGTCTTGCAGCTTTACCGGAAGGGCCTTCACACAAAGGAGACCTCAAATTTTCTGCTCAACGGTTATGATGATTTCGTAAAATAAACAGCAGGACATCTTATACATCGCGACGGTAAGAGAGTAAAAGCCTACTACCCCTCTGAAAGGGGGAGTGATTGACCCAAGACCTACACTTTAATCCACCGCCGCTAGATGCCGCTAGCGAGCCCCTTCGATCGTGAATGGAAGGCGTACATGAAACAAAAAGTTAAATTTCCATCTCGGAATGAAATAGCCAAGGAAGCCTCTAGTGACCCTAGGCAAGTAGTTGTAACGAGGAGTTGACGTGTCCTAGCTCGGAACCTTAAAGGACATCCGGCCCCGTCAACGATGGCCTCACGGTCACTAGGGTACTTGCACACTTGAGAGAACACCTAGGGAGTGCGTCTTATTTCTGGGGGGAGGGGGGATGGGAAGGAGGTAACTCCCATAAAATTAATCGTTAATCAAGTCTCCTCGCTGCAGTTTGGGTTGTTGCGCTTAAATTGAGGCAACCGTCATCACAGCTAAGGTAATTTGGAATCATGGGGAAGCCCGACATATTGTGATATTTTAACAGCTGCGGAATGGAAGCGTTTTTTTTCATCTTCCAAAAGCGCAGATGGACGTGAACGGATGCTCATCCGATATCGGAGATCCAACTCGGATTCTGCGAGTACGTGGAGACCCTGCAAGCATTTTTTCTTCGAGATGCGGCTTGGGACCGACTCAGTCCAACGGCCCATTCGAGCTCCACGGTGAGATTTTCCAGAATCAGTATTTAGATTATAGCATCATCGCAATCCGGAATCGCATGCAATCTCAGATACGGCATCATAGACATAAATATAATTTATTCTGGCAGGATGAGAACTCAAATATCATACATATTTCTTTCATCATCCTGCCTCACATTCATTGCCTCATATTCATTTGAAATCGCATTTAATTCACTCACCCGTTTCAGGTCGTGTATTCCAGGCTCCCCAGTCGACATGTACATAGGTGATTCGACGAATCGAGAAAGCAGAGGGGAGAATCCTCCGATAAGTGTCCAGCCTCCCCCTGCCCACGTCTGCTCCGGCGCAGGTGCAGGGAAGGATGTCAACGGCATCGGGCATAGGTTCTGCCCAGGAATGGAAGCAAGGAGGATGAAGAAGGAGGAATGTGAAGGATTTATTCATACCGAAGGAGAGTGCCCTGGGACAGGCGCGAAGGGAGGACTGGAGTCCATACTAATAACAATGGTCGTGTATTCCAGGCTCCCGAGCCGACATGTACATAGGTGATTCTTTCGACGAATCGAGAAAGCGGAGGGGAGAGTCCTCCCACCCCATGGCCGGAGGTCGACTCCTTCTGGAACGGCAGCCGTTCTCTTTGCGGTGAGATGCCTCTTGGGAGGCGGATGGCAGTGGACGGCGCTCGCTCTCGGTCTGGCCTTGGGCTCTTCCTTCCATCGCAGTCGTGAAAGACAGCGGCGATGCCCTTTAACGGGTCATCGACTCTTTCCGACTTCATTCCCACGGAACATTCATAGCCAGGCTTCGAGTTCGATTGGGATTGGCCGGTCTTGCAGCTTTACCGGAAGGGCCTTCACACAAAGGAGACCTCAAATTTTCTGCTCAACGGGTATGATGATTACGTAAAATAAACAGCAGGACATCTTATATATCGCGACGGTAAGAGAGTAAAAGCCTACTACCCCTCTGAAAGGGGGAGTGATTGACACAAGACCTACACTTTAATCCACCGCCGCTAGATGCCGCTAGCGAGCCCCTTCGATCGTGAATGGAGGGCGTACATGAAACAAAAATTTAAATTTCCATCTCGGAATGAAATAGCCAAGGAAGCCTCTAGTGACCCTAGGCAGGTAGTTGGAACGAGGAGTTGACGTGTCCTAGCTCGGAACCTTAAAGGACATCCGGCCCCGTCAATGAAGGCATCACGGTCACTAGGGCACTTGCACACTTGAGAGAACACCTAGGGAGTGCGTCTTATTCCCGGGGGGGGGGGGGAAAGGAGAAACTCATCTCCCACGGACCATACGTCCGTGTGGCATATATGTCCCACCTGGACATAAGCCATTACGGCCGGGACCGTCTCCTCGGATTTGCAGGCCGGTCTACGCCCTCGATAGAACGTTTAGTGAGTATGAGAATTCTGGTAGCCCTTATACATCTTGAATGCTTTGTAAGGAGGCTTCACCAAAACACCTCTCATTATGCTTCTAGCGTTTTCGAAGAAGTAAGAGGGAGAAAGGCGACGACCGAACATCTCTGTGTGATGGTACATTCCCCTCGTCATAAAGTAGTCATTCCCCTTTTTCCTGTCTAAACGAATTGGTCATCCCGTCCGCCCCTCCCTGGCGTCCAAGGTCTTCCTTTTTCCTTCGCCACTCCGTCGTAATTACTTCATGCCATCATCTTCGTGAATCCGATTTGATAATCCTATTTGATAACGTTGATTTCACTTCGGTATCTAGTCCGCCACGATGCACAAATGCATTGGCACGTAAAAACATGCGCGAGGAGTTCCTTCCACCATCTTGCTTACAATATCAGATTACGTGAGATTTTCGCCTCCGAACAGTCCACATTCACAGTGCGGTCGGTTGCGTCATAGGAGCAAGTGCAAGGGAGGATTTCAGTAGGATCGGGACACAGTTTTTGCCCGCTTGTCCCAGGAACAAAGGAGAGTATGAAAGGAGAGAGGAAGGTGAGAGCCTCCTGCATCTTCAAGGTGAGCGAGACTCGGAAATGGGTTTTAAGGAAGACCGGTGTGGATTGGATCACTTCGATGTTTCTTTTGCAGTGAACTGGACCTGTCCTCGCGGATGTGAATATCTGCACATTTTGGAAATGGATAACATCGTGTGATAATGCGTTGGGGAGACGTTTTCCTTGTGAAAAAGCAGGTGGCATTGAGCCTATTATGGGTTTCATCCAATAGAGGGCCATGAATATATCACAGCATGGATAAAGGGATGAGAGGACAGCTCTCTGGATTTGCCAAGAAGGAATCCAGCACCAATGCTGGTGTCATTCGCGTTTGCTAGATATCGAAATTTCCAGACTCAAATGGATACCTCTCTGCTTCCTCATACCATGACTATTGGGACAGCTCTTGGACTCGATTCCTGTATATTCTCATCAACTGACCTTGTTCAAACGCTTTTCCCTTCTGACTATTTTGACTATTGGACCATTTGACATGAAACACTTTCTCTCTTTCTCTCATACAACATCTGCGACTATAAATGTTCACTGATATCATTGTTATTGATGTATTGATATGGCAAATTTTGGTTTGATGGTAGACATTGGAGGAAATATTTTACTCAAGACGAATTACACATTGACATTTTCATTTTAAATTAATGGGTGTTGGCCAAATAACCATTTCGCAATCCCCCCCAACGAAAATTCAATTGGCGACTACCTCATTCCAGAGATATGGACTAACAATTGAAGAGAACAAAGAAATTAGAGGAACATGTTCCAATCACCCAAAGTTGGAAATAAGGATATGCCAAGTGTCGGTGGCTGAGAAATTCGCTTTCTTCGCCTATTGTTTTGCTTGTGTTAGACATTACCATTTCCAATGGTCGTGTAAGCAAGAAAACAGATAATCGCATTGGTAGTCGTATAGTGGTTTTCAGTATAGTTGACGGTCGCATTATTCCTCGTCCAGCAGTCCAAATACTCAGGATGGAGAAAAACGTTGGTACAGGAAGAGAGCAGTAGACGAGAATGGACGGGAACAGACACTAATAGTCCCTAAGGTCACGGTAAGGGTGAAAGACGCATATCGGCGTCTGAATGATTTTATAGATGACAAACACGAAAGCCACGTCACTGTCTTTTTGCCGAGCGAAGAGGACAAGGGGTGATTCCATGTCAATACGCACACTTTTTTTAACCGACCGCTTCCAATTTCTATGAAATTCCGCACGATGATAGTACCAGTTGAGACAACAAATTACATCAAATTTCAACTCCATGCATTATGTATTCTGAGAATCACAAAGTCAACAGTTTTAGGGCACTTTGGGCCCAGGGATCACAATTATTGTCATAACTGCCTTAGTAATGAAGATGAATGCGATGAATTAGGTATCGTTAGATAGGCGATAAAATTCCTATCGGATGATATTCATCACGCGATGAT